TGTGCCAGGGGGTCAGTGGTGGTGTGTCTGGAGGTCAGCAGTGTACCCAAGGTGTCAGTGGGGCACTGGGCAATCTGTGGTGTGCCTTGGGCAGAGCTGCCCGCAGCGCAGTTCCCACCCAGGGCTCAGCTCATCACAGCTAATGGGATTGCCCATGACCCAGCAAAGCTCCTTAGCCCCTGCCTCCCCTCCATGCACTTTCCCTCCCCGCCCCATACCCAGGTACTTGGCCCGTTCCTCACGCCGCTCCTTTGCCTGCTTGTGCCTTGCCTGGGCTTTCTGAGCATCTGCAGAGGGGAAACACCGTCAGGGCAGCACCCRGCCCCACCRGGCACYGAGYRRTGCCCYCGGGGTGCAGCGTCACCAGAGCACCCCAACCCGCTGGCACTCACCCTGCTTGGGCCGGGGGCTGGCGGCAGGAGATGGCGAGGGCCGGCTGCTCCGTGGGCTCACGTCCTTGGAGGGCCCGGCTGTGGCACCCAGGGAGCTCTTGGCATCGGGAGGGGCCCCTTCTGCAGCAGCTGGGGCTGGGGGCTGGCTCCCGTGGGGCAGTGTCTCCGCCGGGCGAGGGGCAGTGGCATGGACGGGGACGGGCTGGCCAGTGGCRTGGGGCAGTGGCTCTTCTTTGGGATGCTCCGTCCCAGGGGGCTTGGGGGGTCCGGGGGGTGAACTGTCACACCGTGGGGGGACACTCTGTGCCGAGGGGGCCAAAGTGACGAGGCTGGGGGACACGGGCTGTCCTGACGGTGCCATGGCTGGAGGGACGGGTCGGTCACGCTGCGGGGGGCTGCTCTCAGAGGGGAGCATCATGGCCGGGGGGCAGACAGGCTGTGGGGAGGGGGACACGGCTGCAGGGACGGGTGGAACGGTCTTTTCAGAGAGGGTGACGGCCGCAGGGATGGGTGGGACGGTCTTTTCCGTGGGAATGACATCTGGAGGGCAGGGCTGGTCACGCTGCAGGGGGCTCCGCTCTCCCTGCAGGGCACCCCTWGGTGAAGGGGACAGTGTGGAGGGCGGGGGGACGCTGTCTCCCATCGGGGATGGTGGCTTGCCTGCAAGAGGGACAGAGCAGAACACACGATCACTCAGCTGGGGAAGCCTGTGACAGCCCCGCTCGTCCCAAACACAGCCCTCGGGGGACACAGCCTTGTTCCCCAAATGCAGTCCTGTCCCCCAAACACAGCCCTGACCCCCAAACACAGCCCTGTCCCCCAAGCACAGCCCTCGGGGGACACAACCCTGTCCCCCAAACACAGCCCTG